CCCCTCACCCCTTTTGGGAATGGCCTAAAGACACTTCAGTCAGTAGCACCGCCCCGGGGCTTAAAAGAAAGGTTTGAGAACCCAATAAAACCTTGATCACAGAATTAGAGCTTCGTGTTTCTTACTGAAGGTTGGACAAGGATCCAGAGGTTTAGCGCAGTACATGGTTGTCACAGCCGTATGTTCTTATTATCCAGCACAACGTTCTATTGGGGATACATTCTGTTTCCATACATAGTTAAAGAATGAAGTTTGAAAATTGTCATAAATTGATGACAGCCCATCAACAGAACTAATCTATGAACATAATATAGAAAACAGCCTATTTCTTCGATGCCTGACTTGCTCAAACTGGACTGCATTCTAGCAGAACGACGGTGGTACTCGAAACAAATTTACTTTCACACTTGGAAATCAAACTCATGTCTTATGCATACAACAGCGAGGAGCCAAAACATTACAAACACAGTGAAAACATTTCTTCCCCATCCATATTCCAAAGCAAATCTTTAAAGATAACGAAAATTCTGTTTGTGATATTCTAAGATTAGTTACTTTATGGGTGAAGACTTGGTACATTGTTCTGATAGGAATGTTTTATTCATCACATTTCATAGCGAAGAACATTTTAAAGCGTTTTATTAACAATTATGAATTCTCTGCTTTTCTCACACTTTCTATATTTGAGAAATAAAGAATTAGACAGTATGATCTTCATAAGATCAAAACACCACCCCTTAATATTTCCACAACAAATTATAAGATATACATTATACATACTTGGTGAGAACGGTGAATTTTTTTTTCTACATCAATATTAACAGCTAAGCAGTCGAATACTCAAGATGTGAAAAGTGTAAGTGTGCAGGTTTAATGCCTCTATCAACACTATTAGGTCATTTAAGAGGGGGGGACCTGTGGGTTTATGTCCGTCTCCAATAGGACCAAGCCAAATGGGTTGAGAACCTCGAAAACTCGACAAAACGATCCGAGTTTAAGAATACCCTGTCTGGGATCCGAACCAGGGCTATCAGTTCTGTAGTCAAGCATGGTACCAACTGAGCAAATGGCGTGCTCGAGCTCAAGGTAAAGTTTGGAGACACGGAAGTGCGAAGAATCATCTTGAGACACTGGTGTTTGAGAGGTGAGTATCTTCCCGTGGTTTTTCTTGCTGTCTTCCATGTTTGTGGCGTCAGCCATAACAGATTTTGTAACTGCCACCGAATCATAATATTATGCAATGCTGAATTCTACGTATTCTTGCGGCCATTTACATAGAGTCAAATTTTCCGCAAATCGTACTGAGGCCATCCTCCCCTTTAACAAATACACAGTCCACAACTGAATACAACAAGTAAAACGAGATTCACCGTATCAAATGTTATCCTTTCAGAACCGAATTTCTGAAGAAAAGCAACAACCGTTAGATCTTTTGATTTAGAAGGCAGGCTTCGACCCTAACTGCCAAGGCCAATCCGGGCTGAGAGGGAAACATCGTCTCAGAAGAAAGACCGACATACTGGAAAACATTATCCACACACGAAATCAAACTCGGGTCTTTTGTAAGCGACGGCAAGGTGCGTAAGTACTACACCACAGATGCTGGTGTAGAGACTTTGAAGCTATGAACTATGTGTTGAAGCGAACAACTTCACTGCAGTAGGGATGTTTAACCTACTTCACAACCATACTATTATATTTAGGCAGATAAGCACACCACTGTAACAGAGGGTAAGGCGCCGCTACCTGCGACGAGTTGTGACGTTTTTTAATCAATGCAAGTCACTTTCTATTATTTCCTTTACTAACTTGTCTTTGTCATGATATCTACCGCACAAGGCCCTTCACTCCTCTTCCTCATGAACGAACCATATCAATCCATACCACAACATTGAGCCAGTCACGGACGCTACTTCATCGACTTCGTCGTTGTTTTCCTACCGATCGTTTATCACCAGGGAAGATAAGGCCTATACCTTCTCTTCTTCCTTAGATGTTATAGGTCATCACCAGTTCCAGTTGAACGAACTATATCAAACCGTAAAATACCGCTCATCAGCTGAGACCTGGAGAGCCAATTGTATAATACAAAGTTAAGATCCAAACACTTTATTCAAATCATCCCTACAGAACAGAAACCACGGAAGGTTTTAATGTTTGGTACATTGTGCTGGCCACAGCGTTCGCTCTCAACTCTCAGTATTCCACAGCTGAACAGTACAGTGTTCCAGAAAAACATTAAGACTTAATAAGAGCCACCATTGACCTGTATGGTAATATCCAAGACTGAACATACTGACGTTATTCCAGCTCACCATGGAGCTTACCATTCGATTGTTTTGGAGTCAAATAAAGGACAAGGACGAAGAGGTTACACACGCGCTAGACTATAGCAAGGCTGCTTGTTTGCCTTTCATTTATGCGCCAATGGTGCTCCCCAGCGCAGGAAAGCTTTTTTTAAAATAGATAGTAAAGTGCGGCAACGACCAAAACAGTGCTCCATCTGGGATATTATTATACAAGTACAAGTCTATGGGAGCCGCTGGGATGGTCAAGCGTCCTCTAGAGGCGGCGTTGTCTGTGTGGCGATCGTCCTGCCTTGACGAGGACTCTCTTCTCGTCTTGGGGAGTCATCCACAGCAGGTGCAGACGACGTCGATTTCAAGGCAGGTCTGAACTCGGTCATGATGTCTGACGTGGGAACGGAGAGCAACGAAGAAGAGCGTTTCGTTTTGCGCCCACGCGGGATTGAGCCGGCCACGGACGCTACCTCATCAACGACGTCGTCGTCGTCGTTATTTGTATAGCCATCGTCTATTATCGGGGGGGATAAGGGCGGCACAGGCGTTGCGTCGACTGTCTCTACCATCACAACAATGGTTTGGACGGGCGGGTCATTTTTGCCTTCATTACTATCACTTTTGAAAACATCGTCGTCTTCTGGACCCTCATTCTTCACTGTTAAGGAGGTGATGCCCGCGTCCGACTTCGGCGTATCACCCACAACCAACCTCGGCGTTTCATTTACGACCAGCTTCGGTGTCGCCCCTACAGGTAATTTCGGCATTCCCCCTATAGAAGATTGTTTCCCGGCGCCAGGGCTTTTTTCTTGTGACCTAGACGTGTCCACATCAGGTAAGAGAGGAGTAGAGTAAGGTTCTCTGTTGACCAGCAAAAGTCCAGTATCCACCTTCAGAGATCTCCTGGTAGTACTATGCCCGGATGATGTCGTCAACGAACTCCTGTCATCTTCTGTGATTCGTTCTACCTTCACACTTTCCTCGCTGTCCGCAGCTACGACATTGACATTTTCTGGAGGAGTAGCAATGACATAACCGCTTTCCTCTCTGTCGGTTTCTTTACTTCCGTCTTCTGCCATGCTCCCTTTCTTGCTATTGTCCTCTTGTTGGGAGGCATCACTGGACGCCCCATTCTTCCCGTGTGAAATTGATTTTCTTTTTGTCTTTTTCAGTCTTCTAAGCTTCACCAACCTAATTCCCTTCTCTTCCAGATTACCCAAACTGGGTACAGGGGATTCCAAACACTTCAGATCAATCATTGGAAGGTCAAAGTTCGCCATACCCAAGGTATTCCCGGTGCTAGATTTCCGTCCCCGTCTTCTCCCACCCATGTTTGTGCTATCTCTCCTAAATCCCATGTATTTGGGCTGTCTGTCAGAAATAAGGGGCGTAATTCCTCCCCCGCAAACAACAACAGCCGAGTTGTCCTTCGGGCTTCGCGGAGTCACTCCTCTCCGAAACGAGGCTGAGAACTCGTCTCCGCGATTGTAAAAAACGAAAGGAGAATTTTGAGGTGGTCTGAAGCCCGGGAACGTCTTAGACGGCGACCCTCTGGATGGAGGTGGTCTCGGCGATTTGTTCATAGACCTGTGCGAGCGGTGAGTGATCTGGCCGTTGTAGATGGTTGTGCGGGTACGGAAAAAGTCGCTTGTGTCCAGACCAGGAGATGTGTTGTTCATGTGGTTGGCGGGGACTCCTGGGACAGGGGGTAGCATAACAGTCAGTTCACCTGGAGAAGAGATGTTGAATGAGCATAATAACACACGAGGGGGCAGACCCCAAAAAGGGAGCAGGGGGGGGGGGGCGATGCCAAGTTAAGCAATTTTGTTGATAGACTAAACATTTATTGTATATTATTGTAAGTGTTTTACGCCCTCATCGACACAATTAAAACTATAGGGGAGCGGGTAGGTTCAACCTCGGTTGTTAGGGCCAATGCAGGCTGAAAGAGATACAACATCCACGCAGAGAGACGGGGACATACAATAACAAAGATTTTCCATGTCTTTTGCATGTTACGGCAGAAGGTTTTGACACTGGAAAGTTGGGGAGTGACAGACAGCTGCATAAGTATTGAAAAACTAATGGCCATTTATCTATCTCTCTCTCTCTCTCTCTCTCTCTCTCTCTCTCTCTCTCTGTGTGTGTGTGTGTGTATGTGTGTGTGTGTGTGTGTGTGTGAGTGTGTGTATATGTGTGTGTGTGTGTGTGTGTGTGTGTGTGTGTGTGTGTTTCTCCCTCGTCTCCTGTCTGTTTATCTCTCTTACACACATACACATCAATCAATTATCAAAAGTCTGGAAAGCAAGCAACATCTAACTAAGCACCAAGATTCGACTCTTTAACTCCAACGTCAAGTCTGTGCTCCTCTGTGGCTGCGAAACTTGGAAGACAACAAATACAATGTACAGTACTGAATAAAGCCCAGATTTTCATCAACAGATGTATGAGAAGTATTCTAAGAATTAAGTGGCAGGATAGAAAAAGAAATGAAGAGCTGTGGGGAAGGAAAGAAAAAAGGATATAGAGGTAGAAATATGACTAAGAAAGTGGCGATGAGTGGGACACACCTTATGAAAACCCGGTGGAAACATCACAAGACAGTCACAGCAGTGGAACAAGGCAGGGGCAGGCCACGAGAAAGATGAAGGAGATGTGTGGAAAGGGACATGAGAACGAGCTAGGAAGGGTGGCTCAGGACAGATAAAAATGGAAGGAACTTGTATGCAGTCTATACCCTGCCAGGGATGAAAGGAATTGAAGTTGATCGCACACACACACACACACACACACACACACACACACACACACACACACACACACACACTCACACACACACACACACACACACACACACTCACTCACACACGCGCGCGCGCGCACACACACGCACATACACATACACACACACACTCATGCACACACGTGCACGAACATACACATACGAGCACACAGTTTCCCTCTTACTCAGACTCAGACACATGCATACACACACACACACACACACACACACACACACACACACACACACACACACACACACACACACACACACACACACTGACCAGACAACGAGACGCTTCCTCCCGCCTCAGAAGCGTTGTCGGACCAGTCTATGATAGACGCTCGCCCTATGGTCGTGGCGGCTGATGATCTATCCCTGCTCAGAGACCTGTTCTCCCGGTGGCTGGAGGAGGCAGAAGACATGGCGTCGCTCAAACCCACGTACACCTTGCCTCTGTGTTTCGACAGCTTCACTGTATCGGGCATGTTGGCTCCAATAACCTGGTAAGATGGGTATGTTCGAGTAAGAAAATAAGTGTTTAGTTTTAACGCCGCTTTCAACACTATTAGCAGAAGTCATAGTGTCACTAAAACCAAGTTAACCTTTCCTCTGCGTTCAGACATTTTCGCCGTATCGTACATGTTGGCTCCAATAACCCGAAAAGAGGGGTGGGTGGGGTGGGGTGGGGGGGTTGAGATAGGTAGGTCCGAGTAAGTAAAGTAAGTGTGTAGATTTAACACCGCTTTCACAATTGTAAGTTAATTTAAGACAGGCACAAGACATTTAGTCGCTAAAACCCACGTACACCTTTCCTCTGTGTTTCGACAGCTTCACCGTATCGGGCATATTGGCTCTGATAATCCGGGAAAGGGGAGGGAGAGATGGGTAGGTCAGAGTAAGTGAAGTAAGTGTAAGGATTTTATGTCTCTTTCAGCAGACATGATACCAACTACGCGAATAGAGTGACTAGGTCCGATGGGAGATTGATATTTTAGATGGTGCAGAAGTTAAGCATAAGCCCTCATTCCTTCATGCATCTTGGCGATCACTGTCCGCTGCTTTCTGTTCTTGGAAGATAAGATAACCATAGCTGCAATTCAGGTGTTATCCGCCCTCTCCATTACCTTCCCTCCCTTCTACTCTTACTAATCACTGGAAGAAAAAAAGAACAAAGCTAGCCTAAATAAAGAAGTGCAATCGAGCCTGCTCTAACGACCATTTGTCCAAAACTATGGCCTGCACAAACAACCATTTCCTAACCCCCCTCCTCCCCCAATCTCATTTTTTTTCTTTAATAGAATGACAAGAGCATTTGGCCAAGACGACCACTTTCTCCTAAGATGACCACTTTTTCCTTGAAAGCGGGGTGGTCGCATTGAACAGGTTCCACAAAAAATCTAAACATGGCACACGGAGGCCACTCAAATCATATTGTAGACAAATCTAGGTTTCTTACACCACGCAAGCCATTCTACAATGTATTCAGTGAGCTACATCTGACGAGAACCACTCATCCAGGCAGACAGGAACATAATAATAATTACGAAAGCGTTAATCTATAGCGCTAGTTTCACAACCTTCATGACAACAAAAGATACATGTCTGTGTCCAGGCACGTACAAGGACGTCACAATGTCCCGGAACAAATCAATAACAGCAGTGGCATCGTAGTGAAATCAGGCGCTCGTCAAAATAATGAAATCGAAGAACAGACATTTTTTCCTTCAGTCGAGTAAATTATAAGTTGCTTTACTCTGTTGCTATTCTTTTTTTCTATTGGGCTCAACACCTTTTAAGTCTACTTAAAACATACTTATTATGTGTAGCTTTTACTGAAAATTGTTGATCTACGGCATAAAATAAGTACATTTACAGTTTCCAAGGACTCCCAAGCTTTGGAAGTCATCAAGTATTAGTGGCTATTTTTTTCGCTTATCTTACTTTGGACACCAGGCGACCCCAATATTTTTCAATCCCAAATATCTCGCCTTTTTTTCAAGTTAGATGGGTATTTTTTTACATTTATAAACAAGACAAATGAACAAGCTTTAATATTACAGTAATAACTCCATATTATGCCCAAAAATTGACGACCGCCTGATTTCATTGTGTTGTGACCCATCTTATCTCTCCTGGCGAGATGCTACACGTCATCGATTTTATCTCTGAGCTTATTTCCTCTGTTTTAATCACCCGTTAACTCTATGTCTACTTTCAAAGGTCAGACGTACTTAGTTCAGCCTTTGAGGTATACGTGACTCATTTATAAACCCATAGATAGATAGATAGATAGATAGATAGATAGATAGATAGATAGATAGATAGATAGATAGATAGATAGACAGACAGATAGATAGATAGATAGAGATAGATAGCACGAGGTTATTGATAGAGAGACAGACCGACGAAAGGTCAAATAGATCGATGAAAAGACAGCCAGACAAAGAAACAAACAGGCTTCTGGATAACGAAAACAGCTTGCACTCTCAACATTCAATTTTGCCCTTTTTTTACCTATGGAAACAGAAACTGATTCCCTTTTCGACATGAAATGACGACCTGTAACACAACTCAGTCGTTTTGAGTTCAACTCTATCGCCGCGAGTGTACAGTTCATTAAGGGATCACGAAGGCATGTTTTGATGAGAGAAAACCATAGGTTTGAATTATATCCTAGACCACGTACTAAAAACTTCTCTGAGAAGCGTGCGCATCATTGGCGCCCAAATGACGGGCAAAACATCAAGTTCGCTATGGTCGAGTGCTAGCGACACCTTTCTTCCCTTGCTCTTCATTTCGTTCCAAACTTTATTTGGCTCCACAGTGAACCGGGACTTCATCAGAGTGTCAGTGTCGGAGATTGGAGTGCCGTATGGGATATTGGAGCATAAGTCGATGGAGCCGACTGAACTTAGCAAGAATAAAAGAAGGATAAGGGAACTAAAACGATGTGGGGGCGAAATAAGCTGAAACAGCAGGCTATGGGCACTCTTGTGGGTTATCCACTGTGCTGAAGAGCAGCCGAAATAGAAATCCTGATTTAGATTGAGTTTAAGGAGGCGCGGTCGTATCACCTGTGTCCAATGTAGCATAATATCATTTATCTCCTGGTAGCCCGTGGATCTAATATTGATCATGCCAGGTTGCAAATCCCTTCTAAAAGGGAGGTAGAGGTAAAGTAACAACACAATATTAAGTTAGGTTTTTCTTTCCTGAGAGAAAGTTAATGTGCATCCTCGGACAAATACTTCAGTAGGAAATAGTATGTTAGTGAAATATATTAGTTCTGCTCGAATTTGAGAAAAGAGATGCACATCAAAACAGTCATGGTCATTTTCTGCAGGAAAAAAACCAAGAAAGACATACAGAAACAACAGCGAGACAAAAAAAAAGAAGTAGGACCTATCAATGGTCCTCTCCAATCACCTGCTATTAGGGGAGAGCCCGTTTTCGTCCCACAATTTTCATTTTTGCATTTCGTCCCACCCGTTTTCGTCCCAATGCTTATAAATTACTGCTATAGCCACTTCGATTAAAAATATAGTGCGCGGAGAAAATTCATTTGTCAGAATCACATCAACAGGGAGATGGAAGTACGTTTTCATGCTGGGAGAAAGTTCTTCTTACAAGTTTGCAGAATAATTGACTCTAACAGAATAGTTTCGATAAACATCCTTGTGAAAAAATTCTGGTCAAAAATCTTTTATGGAAGCAGGGAAAAACTTTGTACATCATTCATAGTCAGTCTGCCACTGTCTAATGAGATAATATGCTGAAATTTCCAGCAAACAGCAGAGATAAACTCTTTTTATGAAATAAGCCCATCTTCGTGCTTCTTTGTTGGTCCTTGTCTTTTTAGTTCTGCTGATTTTTCATAGTCTAAGGGATCGAGAGAGTCTGAAACAGACTGACAGATATATTATTAGCAGAGATAAAAAGGTAGAAATAAACAGAGACATGGACAGATACAGATAGATAGATAGATAGATAGATAGATAGATAGATAGATAGATAGATAGATAGATAGATAGATAGATAGATAGATAGATAGATAGATAGATTGAA